GCCACTCAGTTTCCAAAGAGGCCAGGAGGAATGGCTGGAGACACTTTCATGACGTGGAGGTGAGCAAGAAATCGTAGGATAGATAGGGTCTGGGGACAAGTAAAGCTTTTCCTTATTCACATAATGTCACAGCATGATTTATGCTTCCCTGCAAGGGATGCTCCTTGGCCCTCTCTGGAGCCCCCTGAGGAGACATCAGAGCCAGCTGATTTGATGCGCGGGGGATTTGCTGAGTTCTGGTAGAACTGCTGGGTGAGTCACTTGGCCATGCTCTCCTTGTTAAAAATATGACTTTGCAACCATCTGAATAAAGAGTAAGACATGACTTTAGAAGTTGAAAGATTTTTTAAAGAGTGTATGAAGTCAGCTCTGTCTTGCTGGGAATGGTGGACCCTGGAAAAATGGCTAGTTAGTACAAATGCATGTACAGAGTGGGCTTCAACACCCGTGTGCTGAGCACAGTGCTTTGGAGCTTCCTGCTGTACCGAGAGGGAAAGGATTTCCTCCACAGCTGTGCAGTGAGCTTTTGGCCGGCTCTGCTGGCCACAGGACTCCCTTCTCACTCCCTGCTGCAGTTAGCGGGAAAGAAAGCACAGAGAGATCCTTTCAGATACAGCAGTAGAGGAGAAAATAAAGACTGGTCTCATCATCCCTGAGCCATGGAGTGGTTGAACACAAGGCTAAGACATTTGACAAGGCAAGAAATGGACTTTAGATTATAAGATCCAAAAAAGGTCCCCCTTGGGGTGATTGATCTGCGTAGCTTGACCATCTGCGAAAGACAAACTTCCCAAGTACATGTTTCAGTTGGAATGCTCAGCCAAGGGCTCAGCCATCTCCTCCCTGACGTGGTGGGTATTTGTGCAGAGAAGTTCACTTGGCCCAGAAGGAGCAGACTGCAAAGTTGCAGCTACTGCTCCTTATGCCAATGGCTGACTCCACTTCTGAGCAGAATTACTGTAGTGAGCAGGGACTTAGTTCACCGTTCAAGTGTGGCTGGTGTTTCGGAGGATGTGGGAGACCAGCTTATGCTGTGTTATAGTCTGCTGTGAGTTACAACTGTTTGGTGCCTTTGTGCACAATGTCATAAACTCTGTTGTAATCGAAGTTCAGAGTCGGTCATTTTCTCTCTTTCCTACTGTCAAACATTTTCAAAAGAATGAACAATACCCTCATGGTTTCTACTTTTACTGCATTTTTTTTCTATGACTAAGGTATCACAGAATGTAGTTTTTCTCTTGATTTACAGACTCAATCAATGCAAAAATTCTAGTGAAAGAAAAATACTCAAAATTAACCAATTTGGGGACTCTAAAATTGTGCTCTTGTGAATATTATTTTTCCCAGAACAATGTGCTTGGCAGAAAATAAATACAATGGAACCATATAGCTGGACAGCCTGAATCATCAGCTCACATTTATTCAGATAAATTGTTTTGGAATTACAGACTTCTGGTTAGAAATAGTCCTCAGATACAGCAATTTCTGCAGGTTTATTGCCTGTAGTTACTTTGGCCAAGCCATAAATTGCTTACATTGAGTGGTATGCCAAATGTAATCCAAGGTTTATGTGTTCTCTCCAGATGCTCCAGGAGTAGCTGATAGAGGTGGCTGGAAGGGCTTGTCCATAAATGTTCTTAGCCCAGTAAAATTGACAGACTGACAGTTGTTCACCATCAGCTGATAAGCACCTGCTTATCTTTTTCTGAGGCCAGTGGCTGGTATTGAACTAAGAAGTAGGGCTACAAAGATGACTGGGGGACTGGAGCATCTCTGTTACGAGGAAAGGCTGAGAGGCTGGAGCTGTTTAGCCTAGAGAAGAGAAGGCTGAGAGGGGATCTTATTGATGCTTGTAGATATCTAAGGGGCAGATGTCAAGAGAATGGGGTCAGACTTTTCAGTGGTGCCCAAGGGCAGGACAAGCAGCAATGGACACAAACTGGAACCCAGGAAGTACCACCTAAAGATAAGGAAAAACTTTACTGTAGGGTGACGGACAACAGGCTGCCCAGGGAGGTTGTGGAGTCTCATCTGGAGACTCAAAATCTGCCTGAATGTGATCTGTGCAACCTGCTCTAGGTGGACCTGCTAAAGAGAGACAGAGGGCAAGCAAGTTAAATGAATATGAACTGTTTACTTGAAAAAGGACGTGGGCATTATCTGGTTCGTTTTCTAAAATCGAAAGAGGCATCAGTCTACTGTGCCCATGTGGGTTTAAATACTCACCCTTCTTGTATTTCTCTGTTCCTATATTTGATAGAAGTAGAAACTTGGTATCCACCTCCAGCATCCACATTATCGGTTGCAAGGCCAGGTATTAAAGACAGCGCCAGGTAGAGTACCCTTTGTCGGGAGTTGTTAACTGTCACAGTCAGTGGAGCTCGTGGCATTCCAATTTGGTTTCCAGCAAACATTTCTGCAGCACAAAAGCTTGCTCTGGGTGTATAGAGCATTTTTTATGCCTTGGTTGGTTTGCTGAGGGCTTAGTCATGTAGCTCCATTTAATTTTAATGGGAAGTGCATGACTAAATTCCACTGCTTTTTAAGGCATCTCACACAAATGCTTGGAAAAACAACGCTATTATCTCTAAGTGGGTTTCACAAGGAGGTCTGGTCTTCTCCTCAGCTTCACGCTGCAGCTGCATTAATGCAGCCACAGGTTTTAATGAACATGGCAGTTCACTTACGAGCCCTTTGACCACTGAGGCTGCTGAGTTTCTGTTGCAGCTCCTTGCGATGGGCGCGTGCTGGGAGCCAGGCGTGACTGTGCTAATTGCCACCAGCATACAGGCTGGTTACAATCTGTCTGCCGTGGTTCCGTTCTCTATGGCTCCTGTGACGCCTGCACACAGCTTTTGGCTCTTCTTATCCAGTGAAATGCATTTTGAGAGCTAGTGCAGATGCTGGAAAAGTGGAAGTTTTACTTTGGTTAGGAACATCTGTTGGTTTTGATCTGAAAGAAAAGAGCCCTTGCCTCCCTGGGACAATTTGGTCAGGCCAGTCAATAACACAGCATACCATGCTTTTGCCACACATTCCTTTCTTGCTTCCTCCCCAGTCGCTTGGTCATATGCTGCTTCCACCACGTCCTATGTCAGCTTGACAAACCAAAGGCTGAGATGTGCCTTATGCATGGAGCAGAAAGTGCAGTCAAAAAGGGTGGGCTTTAAACCCTGGCAACCATGATCAGCCCATGGAGAGCTATCTGGTGTCCTGACTGTCTTGATCAGGCAGAAGATAGGGACCCTTTCAAGGAGTTTGCTTCTGTGACCTCAAGTAGTGTTCATATCAAACATCATTACCTCAGATTTTTGTGCATTGATGAGTTTGTGTAGAGAATGCTAAATATTCAAATACTGAGAAACATACACAGTAATGTGTATTCCCATTACATTTGTTACAAATGAGTTGTAGTAAAGCATATTTTCAAATTTAGCACTAATGTAATTTGAACAACTCAGCTAAAAGGAAAATGTTTGTGTGAACATAAGAAAAAACCCTAGGATGGCTTTTTGCTCTGTAGTTCAGTCCCAACTCCAAGTCAGGGTTTGTAGCCACTTCCCACAGAGCCACATGGGGTTAGGCTGTGCCTCTGTCTGTGAGAGGCTGCCTGCATTGGAGCTGAGCTGCAGAGTGGCCACAGGGAGCTGCCAGGGTCTGCTCCTTGCTGTCCTGCACCAGTGAGCAAACACAAGGGGAGGATGGGTAGGAGACATTCTCAGGCAGGAGATAAGCTTGAAACTTTGGCAACTGGAAGAAGTGAGCCGTGCCCTTTTCAGGGGTGGAGTAATTTACTTCCCTGCAGGAGCAAAAGGGGAGCAGAGAATGAGTGGTGACTTACTGAATTTCATTTAGGTCTCCTCTCAGAGCCTCATAACCTTTGTACGTTCCTACATACAAGGTTCTGTCTCAAGGCACACCCTAGTTTTAAGGAAATGAGAGATGGCAAACTTCTGAAAGCCTGACATGAGCAAAGATACTTCATCTTCCATTTCCTGATGTCAGCTGTCATACCTTCTTGGTAAGCGTAATTAACTGGGCATTGGCAATCTGGTAGTTGTCAAATTCACCTGAGGAGCAGACCCACAAAGAGAGTGTCTAACCTGCAGGATGCTCACTGTGGGACCTGTCCTGTCAGCCTGCGTTGTACCTGCGCAGAGAAGTCGTGCTGGATCTGGGTGTGCCATGGTCTGTGAAGCAGTGCAGTGTGGTTTCTGTAACCATAGCCATGCTTCCAGGGAAGCTGTGCTGGGGCTGCTCGAGTTAGACCATCGTGGTTTTGGGTCTGCAGGGATCTGAAATGCTGTTTCCTTCCTGTCCTGGAAATCCATCGAGAAGCCTGTGGTTTGGTTCAGAGATTTCAGGTACCAGCTGAGGAAAGGGGAGACTAGGTCTTCAGTGTGGACTTACGAAAGACATATTCCGTATGTCTCATCAGTCAAAAGTTAAAGGAAGGGCTTTTTTCCAACTTTTCCAGAAATATTAACTCTTTTGTTGGGTGGGAGCATGGGAAACTGGAGCCCCGATGGGACGTTACTATGAAGCCTGAAAATCCAGATTTGTCTTGGAGGTCCTATATCTAAGGTTTGGTAGCATCTACCACATTTATAAAAAAAATCAGGCTTTGGTGAAAAAAAAGTGCCATTTTGGAAAGCACTTGGGGATTTTTCATCATGACAGATGCTACCGTGTAAGACTATTATCTCCTTATATATGTGGGTAGCTGTTATAAAAAGGCATTTTGACTTACCAAGTCACTTCAATAAAGTGGAATGTGCAGACACAATACTTGACTACCCCCACATGCGTATTTCACCTTTATTAAATCTTACTACAACTAAAATCTTACCCATTCTTTTCTAGCACAAACACTCCGTGTGTGGAAAAATACGTGCAACAGCCAGTAAGCCTTTTAGCACATTATTAATCATCAAATCCAAGGATTAGTAAGAAGCACATTTGCATTTTATCTCTAATTTTTCCTTTTTTTTTCCTTGCAGGCACAGCTGTCTCAGGCTTTAAATGGTGTTTCAGATAAAGCAAAGGAAGCTAAAGAATTTTTGGTTCAGCTGAAAAATTTACTGCAGCAGATCCAGGTAACTGTAGAATATTAGCTGTTTTTTGGTAATACAGTAATCAATAGAACTGAGTGAATAATTTATCTGATGACTTTGTCTCCTGTGCTAGTCTCATCTTTCCTGGAATCATCTAGCCTTTCTTGAGTGGATTTACTAGGAAAAATTATTCATCAGGTAATGCCTGCAAGCCGCTCTTAGGTTCTTGATTGTTTGCTATTTATTGCAAGAAGCTGCTACTCCATACTGGACATCTGAGCTGCCTTGATTAGTATTTGATTGAAACCTTCGGTCATGCTTCCGGGCTCCTTCCTGACTGCAACTGTTTGAATTGGGCATTTAGGATAAGTTCTCAATTTAACACATTCAAAATTTACTACTTGTTTTCCATCTTGCATTTTCTAAAAATGTACTCATTTCTGGGCAAGAGCCACTCAACCTGTTCATTGGAGTATTTGTAGAAAGACAAAAAAAAAAAAAGGAAGAACAAACGCTGCTAAATCAATGTGGTCATTTATTGAAGCAGAAGATATCTTCATGCCTATAATTGTACAGCTTTAATAGTCATAAGAGGGCCCATGGTGAGTGCAGTAATTGAGGGCACAGACGCAAAACGGAACCAAGACCCGTTTTCAGACAAATTTAGACTCATCGGTGCTGGAGGTCAGATGGTCCTCAAGGTCCTCCTCACCCTGCAGAGTGTGGCTGGAAATGTACTGCTGTAGTTTGAGCTGTGCAGTGCCCTGGAGAGGACACATGATATCTACAGCAGTGGTGCTCTGCAGTGGTGGGTTTTCTGTGTGTTAGACATCAGCGGCTCTACAGTATGCCCTCTCTGCTGCTAGCTCATCTTCCACCAATAAGCAAGTCCTGTGCCTGATAGTAACAGGAAGCCAAAGCAGAAGACTAAAATTCTGTATTTATTTTAGAACTTAATCATTAAAATATTCCATTTAACACTCCAGATGATGAATTTGTACCACAAATTCTGGCCAAGCTCTCAGGTTGTTGCAGAGCAGCATAACTACCCACCCTCACAGTAGTCTTCTGTGGCTACGTGGGGAGGAGAACAAACCAAGGTTAATAGACTGGTAAAAAAAAAAAAAAAAAAAGGCACACCTAACTGAAAGAAACTGGTATCGAAGCCGCCACTGGTACCTGACATCTGCCATGTTTTGGACATGGTGGGAGGTTTCTCTCAGCTGACTTTACCTATTTAAAAGTTATGTAGCTCATCTAACCTAATCATCTAGGCTTCTTTTATTGTCCAAGGAGAAAGACAGGCACCTCTAGAGACCAGTTATTCTTATAGGCAAAATATAGCTATTTTAGGATGGGAGAAGTCATCCAAAACAATAGTCTATCACTAATATTTTCTTAAGTCACCTAGCTCCATTAAAAATGTATTTTTCCCTCCTGAAACCTAAAGATGGCCTATTACAACTATTTATGACTATGCGGTAAAATTCTTTAATGTGTTTCAATAAAATCACTGCCAAATTGCTCTGCATAAGGGAGCTGCTGCAATTAGATCAAAAGACCAAGCGTTTTATTTGATGCTGATGATTGCTTAAAATTCTAGAGGAGAGCTCAGAGGAGGAAATTGTATCCAGTAGTCACCCTCTAACGTTCAGTCATGTCTGGGCACAAAGCTGGATCTGACTCTCCGATGTTGAGCCAGTCTACATTCTGAGTCTGACTGAGGACATCAAATTTCAACAAACCAAATCAGCTGCATATGTATGCCTAGCTAAAGCAAGGCTAGAGCACAGCTCTGAGATGATCACTTGCACACTTCAACCCTTGTATGAGCTCCCTGGCGTGATTTTCTCCCGTAGCAAATTGCACTCTTCTCAGGTGATGCTCAAGAAGCATTTGATGATGGCCCATACCAGGGAAGGCGCCTGGTAGGCAGGTGTGATACAGCCATACTATTTGAGGGGAAGGGGTTTAGATGTGTCATGAGCTGATATGTGGCTTTTGGCATCTGGATAAAAAAAAAAAAAAAAAAAAACAAAACTCAAACAATTCTTGGACTGTTATTTGGGGGAATAGATGTAGCCTTTGTGTGTGTGTAGGTTTCTACCCAGAAGCATGTATATCAGAGCAGGTTACTTTTAATAGAAGTCTTGTGATGGCTGCCACACACACATACAGACATTTACCCCTCAGCAAAAGTGCCTTTAAAATGTATGTTTACACAAAGGAGTGAGCAATATGTACATTTTATTGTGCTGTCTCAATGCACAGCAGACCAGACAGTCATCTCCAATCTTCATGTCCCCTCTGCATTTGCCAGAGCTACCAGGAGCTGTGCTTTTATCTTGCCTGGGGCAGTTTACAACTTTATAATCTATTTTTCTTTTCCCTGCTTTGCAGATCCATCGTTTCCCCCTCTTTTTTTTCCTTCCCTTCTCCTTTCTGAGGTCACTTGTAAATCTCTTGGTCTCTTCTTTTCAGAAACTGCCTGTTCCTCACTGCCTCTGTTGCGTCCTTGCTCCTCCTTGTTGCTGTCGTTATCTGATTTTCACATTTTCCCATCTGCTGTAACAATTTCATCTTTTCTCACTTGGAAGAGGCGTACCGCCAAACACCCTGGTTGATGTGTGAACAGAAAATTAGGAGAGAAATGATGTACTACAGCCATCAGCTGATCCAGGCTCTATACATAAACCAACATTTCAAGAGTAGCTGGATGGAAGTGGGCTTAAGGGGGAGTTGGGTGTGATACAAGCCGAGGAGGGAGAGATGCAAACAGGAAGAGTCTGAGACAAACCTGTGAACAGCAACTGAGCCGTCTGGTGTCTCTCCCTCCCACCCATCTTGGCTGGCAGGTCTAGGACTGCGGTGGGGGCCTCTCAGGGTAGAGTGACCCTGAATCCCTCAGCTGGAGAAAAGGATGTGTGGATCACAGTGAGGGAAGGGAATACAGTGCTGAAAATTCTGCTCTCAAAAGAATGAAGACAAAGCAAATGAAGAGAAAACATAAAAGAGCTAAGAGATATTAACAAGTTATGGGCATGTGATGTCTTACATAGAGAGGCTTCTCCTCCAGCACGTGTTAAAATTGTCTCACATTTGATGCTTTTTCTTTTTTCCATTTGGGTATTTGGGAAGAAAGCTGAAAGCTTTCAAGCTCAGAAGAGTAGCTTGAAAGCTTTCTCCTTCTTCTAGTCTTATGAGCAGAGGAAGTGAGGAAGAACCTCCCTTTGAATGGGTGCTACAGCATCATTTCCATGGCCGGAGAAAGTCATCCACAGGAGGAGGGCCAGCTCAGGACCTTGGAGTACCATCTACTCGGGTCTCTACAGCTTCATGGGGTTCTGTGGTAGTAGGGTTTGTTCCCCATTGATAGGATCAGGGTTTGTGTAATGCTAGTGTGATACACTACTTGAGGCTCAAGTGTTGTATAACTCAGATGCTGGCCGCTGCCTAGCAGAGAGTTTTACCACAATGTGAATAAAAAACTGCCATTTTTTTTTTTTTAAAGTTAATCAAATACCACTTACCAAATACCACTGCTCCACTGCTAAGTGCTGGATATTTCTTAAAACGTACTTCAAGCAATATACGAGTCACAGGGCTTTGTACCAAATCAGTTCCCTTCTAATAAGCCTATAGACCAGATTCTGGTCCGTAATTCTGTTCTAATTGCTATGGTGTAGTGCCAGTGATTTCAAAGTTGCTGCAGTGGGATAATTAAAGCAGAATGTGGCAGAATCTTTTTATGTATATGTATGTGCTGTGTATGTTAGGTTTTGCTTTTACAGTACGTTGTACTGCATCTGTTATCCAGAAAGTGCCAGTAAATCAAGGTTTTAAGTAAGCTCGCTATTTGTATAGCATCTTACCATTTCATTTAATAGCATGCAGCTATTACTGGTACAGCTATACTGAAATCAGGAAAGGAACAGAAATGCTGAGGTCTTGAAAAGAAATATTTTCCGAATAGAAAAACAGCTAAGAATGAGTAATAGCTTAAGTGTAAAATATGCTTTCTTTGATGAGTATGACTCTCACCTTCCAGGAGAACGGGTTGGATTATGAAGCCTGTCTTGTCGCTCAGTGTGATGCCTTGGTTGATGCATTAACACGACAGAAGGCAAAACTGCTCACAAAGGTGACCAAAGAACGTGAGCACAAGCTGAAGGTGAGCACAACTCTCATCAGCTGAGCTCAGCTGCTGACACCTGATGTTACTGTACATTTTGTCAAGTGCCCAGCCCTTTACACCATGAAAATGCTTAGTGAACAAATCCTGAAGTCCTTTAACAGGTTTCAGTTCAGCAGTTCAGTGGAACTGTGCTTACACACTTAAAATGAGACATTTACTTCAGCAGTTTGTTGGATCATGCCATCAGTCTTTACTGATCTTTATTGATAGGTTTGGGGCTATCTTTTAAGAGATGCTTATCAGTGAAAGCTGGTGTGGTTTGGATTCTGGGACCTTCTGCCTGAATAAAATGATGAGATTTTGGTGTTTCTTCAAACCTTTGAAATTCAGGCAATCCACCTCCAGAAATCCGTGTGCTGCTTGAAAGATATTAAAGGAACACAGTAAAGTGGAGTAAAGAGAAGAAAGTGCCCAACTTAATTTTGGTTGAACAAAGTGGCAGTCAAGAAATGTTTAAGTAGACACATTTCTTGAAATGCTGAACTGCATATGTGATTTTGGGGTATTATAGTGCCAGTAACTTTATCAGTATCTAAGACAGAAAGAAAAATTGAAGTGAAATATCTAACATGGGAAGCCATAAGGAAAATCTACCTGAGATCAGCATTTAAAAAAATCCATGCCTAACAAGAACCAGCACTTAGGACATACTGCTAACAGCACAGCTAATCCTGCAGTTTATTCCTGTTAGGGTGTTGTACTTCAGGAGCTGTGCAGTTGAATACACTGTTAATAGGCCTAGTCTACAGACATGTGGCAGCAGTATCAAGTCTAAAATCTGGAAAAAATGAGCTGCAGCTTTTTTATTTCTTAATCCCATCAGTGTGTTCTTAAGCAGAGCAAGATTGATAGTGACGAGAACGATAAGAGTATAGTCTGCAAAAAGCCATCCCTGCATTATCCTCTCTAATATTTGCCTTTTATGTGAAGGATTTTTTAAAAGTGCAGATTTTAGTGCAAGTGTGATTGTAAACGTGAGTACTGAAAATGTAGAAACATGTTCTGTGCTCTTTCTGCCCTGAGCAAGCCTGATCTTTGAGCAATTAATCTGCTCTGAAAATTGAGATTCCCTGTGCACAACATTTTGCCAAGCTAATTATCGGTATTTACAGTACAGAGCAAATGAGTGTAGCTGATGGAGATATGGCAATGGCCATATGGCAGCTAAATTAAGCATAGCTTTAACACTCTCTTCCATTTGTTGTCTCTTCTGAAATAATCTACAGAATTCTCTGTAAGCTGGGGCAGTCATCAGAGATGTACTGATGCTTGTTTTCCAGGTTGTTTGGGACCAGATAAATCACTGTACACTGAAGCTACGCCAGTCAACGGGACTTATGGAGTACTGCCTAGAAGTGATCAAAGAAAATGATCCCTCTGGGTTTTTACAGGTATTTTTCTTTCTGGAGAAAATAAAATATGTTCAAGTTAAATCTGAAAATGGACAGCTTTGCTAATTAGTTTTTTCTGCTTTCAAGCCAGGTTCATCGTCACTCCTGCTAGTACTGTGTAAAAGCTCAGGTAGCCTGGTGACTGCATGAATGTCCCAGTGAAGCAATGACTTTGAACAGCCACACTCTGACTGAAGTGTGGAATTATTCACACCACTTCCCTGACTGGTGACGTCTTTCTTCTTGCCAGTCCTTCCTTCTGGGTGAAGAGAAAGTTGCTGTGTGTTTAATGATAATTTTGTGCAGAATGTTATTTTATTCCAGGGCCTCACAGAGCTCTCTGACCAATTTGGAAAGGTCTGTGACTCATCATAGTACTTCTCCCCTTTTTGCTTCTCCCCTTTGCATTACTCTTTCCAATGTGAACGAGTCCTTTCAACATCTGCCCTGTAAGGAAATCCGGCCTTAAGAGCTTGCACGTAGCTTTGCTGGGGTTGTTGCACTTCATGGGGCTACAGGACCTGTCTTGTAGCTGGAGGATCAAGGTACCCCTTCTTTGCAAAATAATGGTGTAGCCAACAATTGCCTTAATTTGCAGGATGTTTTTTCTTAGCTGCAAGCAGTGAAAGAGTCTGTTGATGAGTAAAATGTAACAGTTTTATTATGCAGTTAATTATTTTTCCTAATTAATTCTATTATTTTTATTAATTATTTTACTTTGTCTTATTAGTTTTGTTGCCTTGTTAGTTGCCTAAGAAAGGCACATCAGACAAAATGATCTGCACTTGGCTGGCTGCTGAACAGGGCACGCTGCACACATGAGTGCAGGAATGTCAGAGGGCTGTCACAACATCCCTAAAAAGAGAATTAGCCAACTTAAACCTATTAGTACTCCAGATTGACTGTTACTGTCACATCTGGTCTCGGGCAAGAGTGGGGAATGTGTTATGTGTATCGGTCTTGAGACCACAGATTTTAGTGGGCTGTCAGTTGGATCCTGCAGGACAAATGAATCCTACACACTAGCTAGACACATGCTTCATTTTCATTTTGGCTTACTTTTCCTGTAACCTTTGTGGCTTCATTCTTTACAGTCACCTTTTATAAGAAAATACTTTGGTTTCAACCTTTTCCTGGTTTATCTAGTGATGCTTTCAAGGCAACCAGCAAACACTGAGGCACTGCATTACTTGGAGCAACTGCTCCTGCAGCCAGGACATTGAAACACAGCCAAGGGATCCAGCATCCCAATAAGTGACTCCAGGGTTGTAGGAAGGCTATGAGATGCTCCTCCATTTGGTGCACAGACTAATTAGGAGCTGTTGTTGCAGGGACTTAGGCAGGAGTGTCTTTGAGTAACAGTAATGAGGAAAGGTATCTGAACTCCTGCAATAAAGAACTGTCTCTGGCTTATCCAGAAAAAAATCGTGCTCCCTGTGATTTACAGGAAGCTCACTGGGAGAGACTTCAGATATCCAACTGTCAGCTTCACTGAACTCAAGGACAGTTGAGTTCATTGATTTCCACAGAGCCAGGATCTCATTCCCAGTAGAGTCCATTGTGATCATCTTAGTCTGACTTTTGGCCTACTTGTCAGTAGGCTGAGCTAGAGCAAAGCTTTAAAAATGAAATTCAGTTTTGATGTAATGATAGAAAATCCATGATATTCTTTCAAAATCTATCTGACAACTTAGCACCCTCACTGTGCAAAATATGCACTTTCCTTTCCATGTGATTTTTTTATTTCTTTCATCTTTCATCCACTGAATCATCTCTGCTGAATGGAGAGATCCTGTAACATTTAAGCCTCTCTTTGTGCAACTGCTTTTTAAACATTAGAGAAAACTGGAGTGCAGATCAGAGAACAGAGTGTGGAAGTATATGTGGTGTTCAGGGGCATGATATGTAACATAATCTTAACAGGCTTTTTAATGATTTTAGTGATTTTTACTTTCCTACCTGTAGATGAGATTCATTTTGAAAAGAGAAGATGAAAGGATGCAACATAAAGGGACCACTCCCCAGAATGACCAAATCCTGTCTCAGCTGTTGTGCTGTTGTATTCCTGCTTTCTTTGTGCTGTATCTCACAGACATTCTGTCACTTTTAGTGTTTGCATCTGCTGTTTCATTAAATGCCTGATACTCTCTTTCAGATTTCGGATGCTTTAATCAAACGTGTTCAGGTATCTCAGGAACAGTGGGTCAAAGGAGCCTTGGAGCCAAAAGTGTCTGCTGAGTTTGACTTGACTCTGGATAGTGAACCTTTACTGCAGTCGATTCACCAGCTGGATTTTATTCAGATGAAATGTAGGGGTGAGCTTTTATGATTTTATTTTTTCTGTTTTTCATGCATGTGTTGAAAGAGTGCTGGGAGGGACAGGAGCACAGAGGGAGGAAAGAGGAATGGCTTGAAATTGCTGGATGGTTTTAAAAGGTTTTCAGGCAAATTCAGATCACTGGATGTTTCCTAGAAAGGCACTCTCACCTCATATGCAGTGACCTCAACAAGCTCAGATAGAGACATCAGGTGCAATTAAAGATTTGAAAAGATAAAACTCTTCATAGTAGGTCTATCTGTTAGCTTTGAAGATTAAAAAGACATTAGCTGCATGGAAGTGTATGCCATTGTACAGATTTCCTTGATTTAACATGGTTAGTTCAAAATACCAGTTACCCCTGTCTTGTCAGGAACAGCTGAAGTAGTAAATAAATATTCCCCCCCATGCACATATATGCTTGAATAGGGGAAAAAACACCCACCCTTTGACTGTGCTGTAAACAGTGCCCAGCTTAAAAACGAATTGTGAGACAGAGATTCACAAAGGGAAGTAGCTCTGTGGCTACAGCCTCCCCTGATTCCAGGTATCGTAATGATTCTGAGGGACATGCTAAAGGCAAAGGAGGTTAAAAAGACCATTTAAAAGCAGAAGCTGATGAGCAATAGGTGCCATTGGCAAAAAAAAAAATAAAAAATCTTAACATCATGTGCTTGTAATGAGCTTGGTTTATACGGAGCAGGATGAGAGCTGCATCAGAATTAGGTGGATCCACAGACCAGCTAGCTTTGAAAGCCATTGTGGTCCCTGGGAATGCTGCCATTAGCTTCCCTCAGTGGTGATTCAAGCCTTAATTATACATGTGGGTGACAGGGTAGAGGCTGCCAGAAATCAGTGAATGAGTTAAGGGTATTCGTGTCGTGATGTCCGATGTGCTTTTTTTTGACTCCAGGCAAGCATAAAGATTTCTGTTCAGTTTATCTGTTCTCTCTGGGCCTAATTCTGAACCTAAAAGACCCAAGATGAAGTAATTAGGGTGGATAGTTTGGCACATTAATATGTGGAGAAACAATGGATAAACAAAGGCCCAAGTCTTCTCACCAAGAATGGTTTGCCTCTTAGCAAAAAGGGGCTGTGTTAAAGTTACTCCAAAAGCACCTGTGAAATGATGACAACCAGGAAACTGGAGTCAAGTGAGAAAGAGTATCACTAATAAAACTTCTCTGAATATTGTCTACACGTGTCTAATTAAATCTATTTATATTTAATGCTGTCCATATTATTGTTAAATATATTTAATACTAATCTTCCACCATTCTCCTTCCCAAACATAAAAAAGCTTAGGTAAACTATCCACTTAGATTGCTAATTAACCACAGGTCACTTGAGGTAAGAGCAGCTTAGGTATTTGGCTTTCGGACATTCATCTGGCTTTAAGCTTGAAGACTTAAAAGACTTGAAAGGAGCCACATTCATTGGAGCTTTATGAAAGACAGTGCTGTCTGCTATGCTCTGGTTTATCATATGGTTGCAGGGAAGCTCTGGTACAGAACTAGACACAGTCTGAGAAGCAGAGAAGAGGACAGGACTGCTTCTGCCCAAACCTACACAGAGCTTACAAATACCCTCAGGCTTTGCTCCCTGAAAGTACCTTAACAGTCAGCCCTGAGGAAGGGCTTTTCCTTGAGCTCTCTTGGCCTTGACCAGGGACTACTTGTTGCATGTCACATCAGGCTGATCAGCACAACTGGCGTGACCATGTATACACCATGCAAAGAGTGGTGAAAATGGTGTTAACTTGGCCACCATTCCTGAAGGTACATAAGGCGTGGCATTATTCCCCTTCACACCTCTGTGTGCTCAAGCAGAAGAAGCCACTGACTGGTCCCAAGCTAACATTCATAAGTGTTTAGGATTGTTTAGTACAGAAAGTTGTATTTATGCTTTTTAGTTTATGACAGCAAATCTATTTGCATTTGAACTGCTCAGTCTGACACTTCAGCATTCTTTTTATCTGAAATTTTTCCTCTATGACCTCAGCCAGCTCTGCATTATCTTCTCATGCATAGTGGTTTTGCATCTAGAAACAGAGGTACCACAAAGTAAGCAACTCAGCATTTCAGCAGCAAGCACGCAGACTTACTAGAAACATGACTTTGCTGACTGTGAGAAAGAAGCTGTTGTTGCAAGGCAATGTTTGGCTATTTGTCACCATCAGGACCTCTATATATTCCTGAGCCTTCAATTTCACAGATTAAAATCCATGTATCTCTTCACATCTGCCTCTCTCCAATCCTGCCTACCCTCACGCACCATGTTGTCAATCTTTGCCACGTGCTGGTGTTGAGGGCAGTGCTGTTGAGTCATTATACTGGTTGATCTGACAAGTAGATAGATTGAAGACATCAGAGACATCTATAAAGGGAGTTTTGGGGAAATATATAAGAACAAGGCCAACATGGCTTTTCCAACTGCAAGCTGTTTTGTCCCAAAAGCCTTGCAATGTCAGGTCTGTACTATTGTTATCGATGCTTAGTGCATGGCTGAATGAATATTTTATTTTTTTCAAACTCTGGCCTCATTCAACCTCAGTGAGCTTGCATGGGTCATTTAGAGTGAAAGCATGCTTGTAAGTAAACATTGATTCACTCTGTTAGACAAAGAAGAATAAAAATGAGAACAAATCACATTACATTTGCTTTGATGACTTGTTCATGTGCCTTACTGGTGGACTCTCTATAAACCCAAAGCTAAAACTCATCCCAATAAATAAAGATATGGGAGTGTTTTTTCTTTTTACAGAAAGAGCAATTTGGTTACAAATTAAATGTGCAGAAATGTGATAGGTACAGAAGTAATGCTTAAGCAGTCATGTTGACCAGAGGGTCTCAGTGATAGCTCATTGGCTAGAGTCCCATGCTTCCCAGGCTAGCTGACCTCCTGGAACACATACAGGTCACAGCTGCTGGCATCTTGAACGTTCCCAGATCCCTTTCCTCTGTCCATGTTTTCTTCTCTCTATTGCTTTTTTTTTGAGTGCCTCGGCCTAAAATTCTTGTCTTTTTTTATGACTGGCTGAACAGGTACATCACGTTTCCTCAGTGTGAGCTATGGGCGTGGGCAAATGTGTGTTCCGGGTTTGTCTTGTTCAGACAGCTGGAACTGTCATGCAATTGGTTTGTTGTAAAATGGAGACTAGGTACAAAATAGGAAAAAACATAGCTACTCTCTGCTTTTCTGTACCACCTCTGAATATTCACTCATATGTCACTTCTCCTTGTCAGAAGTGACTCCTTCCCTCTTCTGCAAACCAGTGCATGAAAATTCCCCAGACATACCTCTCGCTGCAAATTTTCCTGCTTCTTCAGCCATGAGCTGCACAGCCATAATAATGAAACAGTAACTGTTCCATTGTAGGCTTTATGCCTGGTTCTGTCTTCTCTGCGTGACGGACACAGGTCTTTGCCTGTGCTCTTTCGTTCTCTCTTGACAACACCATTGGTAGGGCACTTGCTACAATAGTGACTCAGGCTCTTACAGGGTGGTACCACAGTTTTGGAGGAGGTCAAAGTTTTCATGTTCCTGAGGATCCCATTCTTTCACTGTGTTTAGTCCTTTAAAAATTAATCTGGGAAGGTGGAGGGCATAATTGAACAACTTGCTTGTCAAGAGGACAAATAACAGACAATGTCTTTGAGCAGCCCTACTCTATCCTGAGAGGAGATCAGCTGTGAGATACATTGAGTGATGTGGTTTTGAAACTTCTGAGTTGATGTAAGACATCAGTATCACATTTTTTTAGCTAAGTTTGACCTGCATGGAGCACTTGTAGAATAGCAGGACATCTTTCAGCCTCATTAAGAGGTCTTGCTGTGCCAATGCAGGATCATTTCCCCTTTTATATTCTTAATCCTTTCCTTCAAAAACTCTAGAGGACTTTTAAGTTGAAGTGGGACAGCACTGTAATTTAACATCTGAGTCTTCTTTTTTTTCTGACACTCAGCCTATATTTTTCTTTTCTTAGTCCTTTCCCATTGCTCTTCACTGTGGAGTGTATCCCAGTGTCCCGATTATTCAACTTGCTTCACACTTTCCTACGACTTTACAAGTGTTTACCTTTTCTCCTCCCAGAGGGGATCTGAGATCAAGGCAAATCTCTGTCTGCATCCAGGGGAGGAGGCAGGAGGGCAGGCACAGCAAGTGTCATCCAGCAAAGCTGCACAGCTGCTTGATGGGAGCTTCTTACTTCTCCTTCAGCTACCATAGGTTGTGCAGTTCAGGCCAAGGGATGACCCAAAGGGAAGAGGGGAGGACCCGGTGAATGCCTCCTGAGAGGGTTCACTGGTTAGTTAAAGTGTCAGGAGAGTGGATGGCTGATACAGCTCTATCTTCTCCCAGGCTCTTCAGTCACTGGAAATACACAGCCTAACAAATACAGACAAAACCTGAAACTTAAAATTGTTCATGTAAAAATCCCATTACCTCTGAATTTCTCATCTTCAGGTTTTTGACTCTTGTAATGTCCCATTTCTGTTACTTCTCCAGACAGAGTGACTCCTAGATAAAAGTCTGAACTTTCCATGTGAAAAAAACAAGAAGGGTTTTATTTATGACACCGTCTGAATCATCCTTAAACATCAAGGAATAGGAACAAGGCTTTTTTTTTTTTTTTTTTTCTTTTTTCATAGGAAAACTTCAAGAGCTAATTTATAAAGCTCTTTTGTTTCAGACCACAGTCATTCTTCTGGGTTACCAACCATCCGCATTCACTGTGGTGATGGATAATGCCAGCAGAAAGCCAGGGTAGCTTCTGCACTGCTTATCACAAGTGTGATGTTGACTTTCCTGTTACTTTCAAAGTGGGGGTGAAGCTTTAGCTCAGACACACAGCAGTGTCCATTTTCCCAGACTGCTTTGTACACAAAACATGAGCATTCTTCTTTTATCTGGAGAGGTAAAATAGGATGAAAGGAACAGCTTGAGGGCTTAGCTCTCACGGAGACAGAGGGAGAAAAATAAACTAGAGGCTCAAGCAGAGTAGATAAAGGAAGAGCAAACTGACATTGTTAAGAGCTAAATCAATGAATGCTCAGAGCACTCAGCTCCTTGGAAGCCACAGTCGAGCTCTGCAGATATGATCCTGAACAGTGAAATTCAGCCTTAGGCAGAAGACCAGACAGGGTCTATGCATCACTTACATCCCACTTAACCTGTACAATTCCAACAGTGTGCAAGGCAGATGCCAGATCTCTCCAGAAGACCAAATTTTCGTTTAATTTCCAGCAGAGAGTGAATGATGAGAGTTTAGTTGTGTTTAGCAGAGAAGGTGTGGTGGAGGCCTCTTTCCCACAGAGGCATGGATGAGTGTTTTACTCCGTTTATTTTTATTTTTAAGATGCTGGTTTGGCCAGCAGTCTCTTGGAGTTTCTCCTGATCAAATTGCTAAACAGGCATGTTGGTAGATCACTTCATACCTGCAGTTTCTGAGGGGAGAAAGCAACAAGCAGTCTCCTGTGGTGCAGAAGTTCCTTTTGCTACCTGAATCAGGGGATTTAGATACAATTTGCAAATAGAACTATTTTCTTCAATAGTTTAAGTGTGGCTGCCATAAAGATAACATATCCAAGGTGATTTTGATTAAAAAATGGAGGATGGGTGTGGGTCTGTTAGGCTAGATTTAGAAAGAAACACTATTGTGAAGAATTGTTTTCCTACTGTCGGTGGAGTTCAGGCTCTATCTCTCCACTGCACAGGGAGGAGCAGCTGCTCTGCTGGTTAATAACCCAATTCTTTATTAACAAGCTGGGCTTCCTGGCAGCACTTCATCTCCCATGCTACCTCTTGGGCTGAGACATCCCCTGCCACTGCTGCTCCCTCTGTCCTTTTGGGGACAGCAGGGGCAAAGTGCTCTAGAATGAAAAAAAGCTCTTCCAGCTAGTGACCCCTGAGAAGGAAACCAGTCATGAGGTCCTCGACTGCAGTTCTTATGAGGCACCAGAAGCATGTCCAGATACATTTCTGTTTACATATTTCAGCCAAATTATTTGTCTAAAGGAGTAACAACATTATGTTATATCATTTTTACTGCCTTTTGTTTCAAGGAAGGGAAGAGACCTTTTTCCTGCCAAATATTGACTTCCCTGTGAGGGAAGGGAGGTGGGAGGTCACCTCACTGCTCGCGGCACAGACTGACGGGGCAGGGCAGAGTTACACTAATCTGTGCTCAGTTCCTGTTACAGTGCCACCCGTCCCATTACTGCAGCTGGAGAAGTGTTGCACCAGAAACAACAGCGTGACGTTGGCCTGGAGGATGCCACCTTTGAGCCACAACCCGGTGGAGGGTTATATCTTGGAGCTCGATGATGGAGATGGTGGCCAGTTCCGAGTGAGATTTTCATTCAGCATTTATTTGTGTTTCTTTGTATGTGAGTTTCCTCAGGATATGGATTTGTGTCTGTCTAAGGGTGGGGAGAGGGGGTAGGGAAGATACAGGTGGTCAAATCCTGCCTGCTTCTCTCCTCTGGATGTAGAAAGCAGAGCAGATGCTGCTTATTAGAAGGACCCCCAGCTTGGGTAGGAAGTTTGGTCAAGTTTATTCTCAGGGGTCTGGCAAAGAGGGCCTTGAGGTCCCCCTGGAGTATACCAAAGCAGAGAATCCCATACTAACCTACAGGAGCTGAAAATGGTTCCTTCCACAAAACAGAGATTTCTGTGAAGTCCCTACTCTTATCTGTCCATAGCACCCTGTTTCAACAGCGGAGATTCTTGGTCCAGAAATGCAACTCAGTTTTTCCTGGTTTCCTGAGTAAAAAATGTGATCCTACATAAAAATACAGGACTTCTAAATCTTTTCTCTGGGAGTGGATGAGACTGGGCTGGTGGGAGCTTTCTGCAGTCACACTGCAACAGGGTGGGTAAGTATGGGAAGGCATCCCGAGTGATGTCCTTCCAGACCCTCAGGGTGATGCCACAACTGCTTGGTCCTGGCTGCAGGTGCAGGGTACTCAGAGCCTCTCATCCCTTTGGGCCACATCCTGATAAACAGAAATAATTTGATCACCTTTCTGCCAGCCATGTCCTGCTGGAAGCTGTGGTCCTTTCTCCTCAGGTAGACTTCATGCTCCTGTTGCTCCAGAACCAAGCTGGCCCTGTGCATTCCCTAGGGGTTAGTGCCTTGAAAGCATCTGCAGATCATTGTGGAGTATAGCTGTTCTCTTCACAAGGGGAAATTTTGCCAAAACCATGCGATGGCATTTCTTCAGGAATTGCAAACTGGCTTCTCACTGGAAACCTAAAGATTTATCAGCTGAAAATGGCCTGGCACGGGTCCACCTGAGGAACTGCCTCTCTCTGCCAAACTGCTACACCCATAGCAAGCAGAGGCACCTGATTTGGATGCCCCCCATTAGAAGGGACCGCGATACTGGCAGGCCATTTTGATGAGGGCATTGCATTTCTGGAAGGTCTCCTCAGTTCCTTGGTCCAAGTATAATTTCACATGGGTTTGAAGAGTCTGGCCCCCATTACTGAACATGTGCAAAGGTACCTTTATGGACAGCTTCTGGGAGCTGCCAATATAGTTAATATTAACAGGTAAGTGTTGTCACTGTGGTGAATGAAGAGTTAGGAATAAGGTGTTATGAATTCTATTGTCTTGGATAAACCTTTCCAAGTGCTATTCCCATCTAAATAAATACCTGTGAATAGTTAACATTCCAAGCCCACTTGGGGGAGGGGTTGTGACTGGTAAAGGCTTTAGGACTGCCAGCACTGCCATGTCAAGATCTTGGATGGAAAAAGATACAAAACCATCTCAATCCTTAAAAATCTAGGGTGACAGCTTCTCAGGGGAACACTTTGCTTGCTGTGGTAGAAACACCTCAGTTTTGCCCATTAAAAGATAAACTGCACGCTCCTCAGCAGTGCCATTTTAATAAGTTTGCTGACCCTTTTTGTGAATGGTTGTGTATCTGAAAGCTTTGACATTGACTATACTTTGTCAGTACTGATGGGTGGATTTAAAGAATGGTTTTGTCTCCTGTTGCAGCAGAGAGCATCAACCTGCATAAACACAAGCAGTGGTAAAATATGAAATGGATTAGAAAATGTGAGAGCTGTCCCACAAATACAACTTTTTGCACAGGCAGCATATGTTATAACATGGACATAAATTAAGCTATTCTGTTAAAACTCTTCTTTCTCTCCACGAAAGATCATCAGCTTAGTCATGACACAAGAGATTTTGTTATTTGTAGCAGCCACTGTGGTAGCAAAGTGGGCAAACACATGGTCTGCTCTAAAATTTAGTAATCCCTTTCTTATCCATAATATGCTTGATTCACTTTAGGTTCATATCAAAGGCTATCAATCAACAGGACTACTCTTGGGCATATATGTAAGTGTCTTAACTGAACTGGGGCCTGAGTGGTCTGCTTAGTCACAGCCTTGAGCTGTTTTGGGCCTTTGCTACCATAAATCTATGGATTTCACAGAATCAGAGAAATTTGAGGTGGAAAAGAACTGTGACTTTCAACCCACTGCCAAGACAGGATTTTTTACTTTTCTGTCATTTTCTTTTCCATTTTCCAACAACCATGAGGTTTATAGGCTTCTTCCAGTTCATCATAAACTGTGTAGTGCAACTGATCCTCTTAATTAGTCTGCCTAGATGTTCCTCCTCCTGAAATATGTCATATTATACAAGTGCTTGCTATTTAATAAACCTTTGTAGACTTTTATGATGTCTCTGTTGTCTAGTTGCTGTTTCATCATGTGATGCATGTGAGCCTCATCTTTAGGAGATCAGTGTTTTTCTGGCCCTGTGTTTGCAGGTTTCAAAATTACATTTTAACACAGTCATGAGACAGCCTTTCCAACAGAATAAAACTGTTGTTGCTTGTTTTTTTGATTCTTCCATGTTCCACTTTTTTGGTCCTACGTAAATATAAGAATGACTGTGATGGGTCAGACACTGAGACTACCATCCAAAATAGTGTTTTAGAGTAGATGTTTAGGAAAGGAGGATGGCAATTAAGATCTTTTTGTGTTGCCCTTTACTGCTGTATCCTTCCACTTTCATGTTTACCTTAGTGTCTCCACTGCTAACCAACCTTAATGTCTGCCCTGTGGCTGTGTGCTGCGGCTGTCCGTGTTATAACAGCATAACTTCTACATGCTGGGAAGCAATGAGAAGCTTGTATTTAGAAGTTTTAACATATGGTCACAGGGCACAGAGAAACAATTAAACTAGGTCCTACCTTCTTTCTTTTGTTTTGAATGCTTAGGAAGTATATGTTGGCAAGGAGACTCTCTGCACCATTGACGGCCTTCATTTCAACAGTACCTATAATGCAAGAGTCAAAGCTTTTAACTCATCAGGAGTTGGTCCTTACAGCAAGACAGTTATTTTACAGACGTCGGATGGTGAGTTGGGTTTTTGCCAGTTTCTAAGTGAAAAACTGCAGGTCTCATTGCCAGGGCACCTGCATCCCTTTATACCCGCCTATTTCTTTGGCATTTACTGGCATGGAGATTTTGGATCATCTGAGCAGAGAGGCCAGAAACTGAGTGTGCACAGGGACTGAGCACTCCTCCTACCACTTTTGGGGATTTTCCACTATCTGTAACACTTCTGCTTTCAAATCATGCAATTTTATTTGGCTGGAGAAGTCTTTCAAATAAGAAAAATTCTTATTGGTTTTAGCATACAGAAGCAGTTATGCAACACACAGGATATTTTTGTGCCACTCTGTCTCCACTTCCCCGTATATCTTTGGAATTTGTGTTTTCCTTCACTACTGGTTCAATTTCACAGCAAGGTTTGATAATACAGACATGGGAATTCATGCTTGTTCCTCTGTAATTATACTTGACATCCATACGGGCATCGCAAGAAGTTCAGCTTTGTTAATGATACTGTAATGAATCAAGAAGTGCATGCTATTATCACTTCCACTTTTACGCTGTGTTGCCAAAATAGGCCAGTATGAAATATTTATACTTTAAGAGGCTTTTCTGTTGTGCTTTTTTCCCTGTTTTTTTTTTTTTGCCCCTCATTGATAAAGTGGTGAAGTCAGTCTGAACCAGCATGGACACGCTACATCTCCATAAAATGTGATCCTGAACCAGTTCACCTATGTGAGCAGTTTCCATATCATAGAGAAGCCTTTGTCTCCTCAATGACTTTTTTGTTACTGTGTGAGAACAGAAAGTCACTGCCCTTAGCAGCTTATGTTCACAGGAACAAGCACAGACAATATAAGGCAGTTCTGAGCTGAAAAACAGCAGGGTACCAGCTCAAAGCAATCTTGTGGAGCTGCCTACAGTAACCTGGAAAGATTGGTTGTATTTACTTGGAAGTGCAGTGGGGTCTTTAGGAAGGCAGAATCTCGTTCTCCTAATTGAAGTAGAGCAGAGGAGACTTGAACACATTCTGCCATAATCCTGCCTTTTCTTTTCTCCTCCCACAGTGGCGTGGTTCACCTTCGACCCCTCCTCAGCTCACAGAGACATAGTGCTGTCCAATGACAACCAGACTGCCACCTGCAACAGCTATGATGACCGGGTTGTTCTTGGCACAGCAGCCTTCTCCAAGGGCGTGCATTACTGGGAGCTGCACGTGGACCGGTACGACAACCACCCGGATCCAGCCTTTGGTATTGCCAGGATTAACGTCGTCAAGGACATGATGCTGGGCAAGGATGACAAGGCGTGGGCCATGTACGTTGACAACAACCGCAGCTGGTTCATGCATTGCAACTCTCACACCAATCGGTAAGCACCACGCCCATGCTTTCCTCAGTACTGAGGTGGTTTTCTGCTTGGCATCGGGGGAGGGGGTCTCAGCAAGCCACCACTGGTGGCCGCCGGTCCCAAAATGCAGATGTTTATTGCCAGTCCTGAAAGCTGGCTAAAGGTTATGCTGAAGGTCACATGTGGGGTGAGCTGGACACAAGGGGCTGTTTGGCAGTGGGGTCTAAGTGACAGCTTCCATCCAACTGACTGACTGGACTGAAGCGCTTTGAAAAGTGTCTTGACTGGTATAACCAGCTTACAGAAAGAAGGATTTCAGAATGCCCCTGAGCCATCATTACCAAACCTCCCTTTCTCCCAGAAAGCTCCCTTTCTCTCAGAGCTTCGAGGCTCTGTGTGCTCTGTGTGACAGAGTGGTGGGGAAACTTGTTCTAACTGAAGCTACCTCCAGGGATGGATCACACAGAGACAACCTGTATCAGCATAGATCCAGTGTGGTGCTGACATGGCTGCATGGCTTTCAGCACTCACGATAGTTAGCTCTGCCTACTGCTGGCTGTCTTTCCTTGACATGATGCTGGACTGTGTAGAGGAGACATGGTCAACTTCACTTTAAGCTCCTTGCGGTATCACCAGAGCAGAACTGCACCGCTCGCTCTCTCTGTCCCATAAGAGGGTCAGCCCTAGCTGAAGGTCAGCTGGGTACTACAGGAGGTGAGACCCTTCAGAAGATCTCCACTGGCAGCGTGATTCAGAGTCCTAAACCTCTTGCTTATTTTGGAAAAGTGTATTTATATGCATATTCTGTCATGATGGGAGATTGATGTACAGATGAAGTGACTGACCAAGGATATGTAGGAGGTCTGTTGCAGATCAGGAACAATTTTTTTTTTTTACTGACTATCCCAGCAGGTCTTCCACACTTACTAGCTCAGGTATTGTTTCTGTTATACCAGATGATTATAAGGAATGCTAGCAGTGATTTTTAAAATGCTCAAATGCAGGTATCTCCTTAAAGAGGGAAGTCAGTGCAAACATGCGCTGTATCCTGAAGCTGGTTGTAATGTTGAATAGTCATTTATACTCTAAAGCATACTTTTATTTCAAGTAAGTATACTGCAGTTGCTGGGAGTTTTTGAAGCCTAGTTTGATTTTGCAGTTCATTACAGACAGGTGGAAGAACCTTGTAGCTGGATCAGAAGCTATCTGAAGTCAACGGGAGTATTTTCCATGGCTCCAAAGACCTTAGCTCATGTCCTAAGATAACAGAAAGTAAAATAACATCAGTATAATAAATACAGGCTGAAAGGTTCCCTGTCCCTTTAACATCTTGATTCGATTTAGGGTGGAAGTAATGTTGAGCTGTATTAATTTTAATGCTCTGTGGAACAGCTTATGTTTTCTGGAAAAAAGCTGGCAACCATTCTGTGTACTACTGTCCCAGAAACCTATTTCATGGGTTTGGTCCTCTGCGTGCTCCTCCCGGCAAACACCACACAAGCTAAGCAAAAGCTTTTTTTCTGGGTACCACAGACAATGGAAAAACTTTGGATTTCCAATCATCCTGCTTAAACAGGAGAACAGAGTGCTTTCTGTTGATGTGATAGTTTCCCAGTTTTCACTACATAAGCCGCAAAGGCTTTGCAGGGACATCCAGGGCACGGATAGACCCGTGGAATATCTGTTCAAGTGAAGTACACTTGTAAAGGGCATGTAGTCTTATGAAATCACATCCGCTTCAATGAAATTAGGTCTAGGCATTATATTTTTAACTGTGACAGTCAAGTAGGTCAGTTTTTTAACTCATTAGCTGTAATAGTCTTGTGGAAACAGTGACTGATGCCTAGTTGTTTTTCCCCACTGGAGACAAGTGCATGACAGCACAGTATCAGAGCCCAAAGGAGATTTATTGTCAGCTTTTAGCCTCTTGAATGTTATTGTCATGGAGGTTACATCTTGGTAATCATTTTGTGCGTCCTAATCTTCATGAGAATACATTAGGGCAACAAATGACTAGCTTCAAGGGTAAGCTGAGGTGGAGCTTGAAAGACCTATTGGTGGGACCTGTCACATTTAGAGTACTTTTCTGTTCCTTCATAGCATGCAAAACTGGACCTGTCTACATCCTTAAAAACTAGCATGACTTCTGTAATGCTAGAAGAGGCACGAAAAGAAGAATCTAATGCTATCGAAAACAGAGGGAACCTTTGAGAATAGGTTGAGCCAACTGGTTAAAATACACCTTAGGGTAGGGATATAGCTTTGTGAGGTAACCTTCAGCCTCACTGTTCCTGAAAATAATCAGTTCCTACCAGAGAGGTTGTATGCCCATTGCTGAGAGGCACTGGCGTTCATTGCAGTAGATCTGTTCCTCGGCAAAGTTCCCAAGGGCAGGAGTACCTGGTGCTATAGGTGATACTCCAGCCACCACATGGTTATGTAAAGAAAGAGACAGAAATCACACTGAAATATTTTATCCTGAATGAGAGGGGAAGTCAAAATCCAGAGATTTTGGAGTAGTTTTAAAGCCCCCTGTGATCAGGAGAGTCTCTTCACTGACTTCATAGATCCCAAGACCAGGTTTTCGTCAGAAAAAAAAATGTTATAATTGACTGAAAAATACTATCCTTGATGTTAGACGTGGTAAAGTTGTCAAATTACTCGAAAGCTCATGATTAAAATACTGTTAATGGAGAGTTAAACTAATTCTTCAGGTTATTATAAAGTGTTCCCAAATTGCCAGGCTTCATTTTTCAATAGCAGTGAAACTTATTACCCTTCTTAATTCTTCAAACCAATCCATGCAGTGCCATTCTGCACATTGTCCAAGCTGCTGCTGAAAGCATCTTAGAATAACAGCCTCCACTGCCACAGGCAATGGTATTATTCATGGTAGCCAAATTCCCCTATCTGTACTCTGGCCTTCCAGGCTTCTGCACAGCACTTCCACACTCAAGACCTACCACTGTGCACAGAAATAAAAATGTGCAGCCTTGTGAGAAAAGAGGTGTAAGAAGTAGGTTTTACTTGAAATACTGAATGAGTGGTGCGTATCTTCAAAACGGGATTATCATGCAATGAATTCTAAGTATTTATTGAAGAAATATTATAACACAGTTGTATTTTCTTTTTACATGGCCTGCAGGTTACTAGGGGCCTACGGTACAAGTGTCATTAGGTAGTCTGAAAAATGCATTACAGTAAAGCAGCAGCTTTTTCACAAGCTGCCAGAGCAGTGTACCAGGAGAGAGGAACATCAATTTGAGTCTCTTGAGCTAGCTGGCTTCTTTTACTACAAGGAAGGCATGTATTAGAAAAATTACCTTGTAATACTGCCTAAATGATGTACAAAAGAGTAAGGAAATGCCTTGCATAAATTTTCTCATGAAACTTTGACTCTCTCATCTCTCCTTTAAAAAAAATGGCCTTAACAGTAGTCCAAAAAGCACTGGAGTCCTCAAAGTACTGTTCACAAGGAAATCATAGGATGCTCTGGAAGAGCAGCTGTTCAGCCTCAGAAAAAGTCCAGCCTCACTGGTAGCAGCATGGCAAAGTGTCCCTGCTTGTCTTTGCCCTGGCTTCATCCTCCCAGAGCTGGTTGCTCACTGTGGGGAGGTGGTGGCCAAGGAATGGGGCAAGCTACTGGATGAAGTCCTGTACAACTTGTGGCAGCAAGGAAGGGAGAGAGGGTCCCCATCCCTCTGCTATGCCCCTGCACCCCTGTGGCTCCTGGAGGGACCTCAGCTGGATCCTGCACTTGCCTCGGCTGGGTTCTGCAGGCAGCATCTATCTCCTCTTCAGCTGGGCTGTCCCCAGGGGCTGCAGAGAAGTCACTCAACGTCACAGTGCAGCACACAGTTAATTAGCCCACAAGAAGGAAATTAGCTTATCATATAGGAAAGAGCATCATAATATCAAAAAGGCAAAGCTGCTGTTTCTGTTCCCCTAAGAGAATCAATGTCATTTAGAAGAATGTCAAAGTCTATTTTAAAACACTGCAGGATATAAAAGATGGTGCCCTACAATCAAAACTGTTCCTAAAGAGAGAAAAAAAATAACGTAGCCTCTTTGCAAATGGCTCTAGATCATAGCACTGTTGCTTCCCACAATCTCATCATGAGTTTTATTATTTAACGGTTTTAAAAAAATAGTCGAGATACTGAGATGCTGAGGACAGGTTAGCATCTTCACTCTTGTTGGAAAATGATGGTTTTGGAGAAGAGCTCAAAGAGAAACCTATTAATGCTTATAGCACAGAAAGCAAATGAAAAGAACCTGAGAACGGTAAAGTTTGAAATCTGACACCTCTGAGAGTCAATTTATGATTCTCAGCTACCCAATTAATGTTTGAAGAGTTTTCAATGGAGAAGTCAGAACCGTATTCTGTACTATTACACCACAGATAAAACTCCCTTTACTTTCAGAGGAAATGCTGTGCCGTCTAAAACAAACTAGTTTGACACCTAGTGGTCAAAATGAAAATGTCTTACCCTGCACTACATTCTTTCTAACCATATTTTGATTCCTTCCCACCCCCTTTTTTTTTTTTTTTTTTATGTTTGCCTACCTTTTGTGATAAATTTTATGTTAAAATTGTGAATGTTGTGTGCCTGAGGGAGTGTGTGGGACAAAAGACAGCTGCTTCCTTTCCTACTGCAAATTATTTGAAATCTGATTTACCCCGAACAAATTGTGTCAGGCTATAAATCCATCGCAGAGCCTTCACCATATTAGCAGAGTAGCAGTGCCTGTGGCAAATCTGCATATCTAGTAGATTTTTTTGCTCAGTGCTCTTTAAAGTAATCCTGGGTTTGACTCACCCCCAAATCAAAGTGCATTAGCGTCAAATCACTCAAGCATGTAATGGCTGGCTCAGTCCGTCCTGGCAAGCTCTGATATCACCCTAGCTCTCAGCAGCTGCTCCTGACACAATCCATTATCACTGGTATTAATAACCATGCCTGCACACTTGCTGAGCACCTTGTCAGTCAGGGAGCTACACTTATCCCTAACCAGCCACACCTTCCTCCCCAAAATCACCCTGTTGTACATGTGCTGGCTCCCCGGTCTCTGGAAAGTTGGCTCCCCTGAGGGGATGCCAAGGTGAGTATTGGAAGTCTGAGTCTTGAGCTGTTTGCAGGCAAAATGATTAAAAACGACTGCCTAGGAAGCCAGCTTTCTGCTTTTTCATTCCTTGCTGTGCATCACTTCCCTATAGCAGGGTGCTTTGAGGAGCTGAGTCTTCAGGGCTCCTGTCCGGCACGTGCAGTATTGACCTCACCTGCTCACCTCCCTGTCTGTCATCAGCTGAGAGGGCCTGTTAGCTCTGGACCCCATTTTCAGCTTTTAGGTTGCGGTTAGAGGAGAGATTGACTTAATTTCTCTTCAGGATTCCCCAGTTAAGCTCCTAAGAATGTGGTACATGTGCTTCAGATAAAGGTGTAGGTCAGTCATTGCCAAATCCCATGGGGATAATCGTTTCACCTTGGTGCCCTACTCTCCCTTGGCTTAGTGACTGCCTTGTCCTAGAGAGAGCAGCCGCGGTGTAGCACTCTGCCTTCACCAACAGTGTGGTCCCTTTGTACATTAGGACTGAAGGAGGAGTTTCTAAAGGTGCCACTGTTGGTGTTCTTCTGGATCTGAACAAGCACAGCCTGACCTTTTACATAAATGGGCAGCAGCAAGGGCCTCCAGCGTTTGAGAACGTCGAAGGTGTGTTCATGCCTGCACTGAGCCTCAACCGAAACGTCCAGGTAAGTCTTCTGCAGGTCAGTCCCACTTACCCTTCTCATCTGAAGGAGAATGTATGGTACTGGCCATTGCTGCTGGGGGAGGATAATGTCATCTCTAGGTAGCACAGACAGGAGCTCTTTCCTTCTCAAACTGACACTCAGGCTACTAAGACTTTTTGGAAAGCTGCGCTTGATGATCTGCTTTGCCTCACAGATGTGAGGAGTAACACTGTAAAACAAAAAAGTGTCAGCACACGTTAATTCTTACACTCATTTTGCTGTAACATTCCACTTGGAAAGCAGCAGTGCTATGGCTTCCTCTGCCTGTTTGACTAAAAAATGTGAGTATCCTCATTCCTCTTGGATCTTATGTTTGGAGATTATTAACACTGGTTAATGACAGAAAAGTGAATAGTACAGTGGTAACCAGAGCAACGACAACATAGGTCAGAGAATTAGTGCGACAGAAAAGACCAGTCAGCACATCATTCCTGCTCTGAATTTTGGAGGTTGCTCTCTGTTCTCAAGAGGATCTCCTCTTGGAGGAGCTCTCTTTACATATAATATACTTTGACTTCAAGACAACTGCATATGGCTAGAAACAGGACATAGTGTAAGGAAGAACCTATGAAAGCACCCAGGAGCCCGAGGGTGAAAGGAGGTCAGCTTAGATCAGATGGGACCAATACAGCCAGGGTGGAACACTCATAATTTAAAACACTCAAACTGAAACCTCACATGGCCTTATCAGTATGTGAACATTCATCATTTTTTTACTGGGGGCATCCAGATCTTTCAAGAGGGTTTCACAGCTATATTATATTTGATGCATCAATGTGGAAGATGTAGGCACTTCTCTGGGCACCTGATTGTTATATTCAACACAGATCTGTACTCACAATCTTTCTTCAGTTTTAGCTACCTACATGCTTTACTTGGCTTGTATTTCTTACTGCAACTGAGTTAAGGCACAGTGTGGCTGATGGGGAAAGAGGGAAACTGTTGAGACTAAGCTTGTGTTTGCTGTTGAATGGTGTTGACCCAGCTGTTCTGGTAGGCCTGTGTGGGAACCCTGACCTTGTAAGGTTGTTAGGTTACAGAAGGAGCACTAAATTGTCCTGTGCTCTGTTCTGCCAGGACAGCAAAGAGAAAGGGATTTTATTCTATTTTGTACATGGGTTCCACTGTTTGATCCCTGTCTTGAAGTACTCAAGGGTTCCTCACACGAAGACACCATCCACCTTGTACTTAGCGAGCAGAACTGCTGGGGACCTACAGCTGTTGGCTGGATTTGGGAGAAGATACAGACACCTGTCTTCTAGACCCCAAGGTGTTCAGGGGGAAAGAAATTTGTTTATTTCAGGGGCTCAATATCTCCATCAATATTCTTGATGACTTAAACCTGGACCTGAAGTCCCACAGCGCTTCCCCTGTCATTTACTTGCTCTTGGCCTTCACAAATGCTTTCTGCTGAGGATGTCCCAGTTTTGAATCTGCTTGTGATCTCTTCTTTGTGCAGGTGACCCTGCACACAGGATTGGAAGTGCCACAGTGTGTAAAACAACCCAAGTTGCCCAACAACTAATGAAGCCTCTGACTGACGTGTGCTGGATGCTGTAAGCTTTCTCAGTGTGATTCAACACTTTTCAGTAAGTCAGTAAAAAACCATCCTCTTCCCTGACTTAACACATTGTACAGCACATTGCTCACCAGATAACACACTGAGTACAGCTAGCCGACTCCATTTTTAACAGCCATAGCAGCCATACCCACTGAACTGGCACAGGGGTACCTGCACATATCTACATTGCATTGCACTCCTGTGTACACGGATGTGCACACATATACATGGACATATATAAAGCAAAATGTTACATGAGTGTATTTTCTATCTCATGGCTGGATTTGTGCTTAAAAGATATTAGGGATCCTGGAAAAAAATTGGTAAGATAAGACTGAGGGACAACAGCTGTTAGGAGCAATTTACCAGTAGATGAACTGGATTCCCTTGCCACCTAAAGTCCTTAAATCGGGAAAGCGTGTTTTAACAGCTCAAGTGGAGTCTGCGTGCTCAAGAATCCCTGACTGTCCATTACATTCAGGACCTCAAATGACCATTAATTATTTCTTCTGGCTCTAGACTGCAGTAAGATAAGGGACAACATTCCAAAAATTCAGTGGCAGCACTTATTGTCTTCAATGCAAATAAGATGGTTTCCAGTCACTGCTGTGTAATACTTGCACTCATTTTAGCTAACTCTATGACACATGCAGAATTCAGATATGAAAAGAACAGAGAAAAATATCGTTGGTACATTTTAGCGTTTGTTAGATAGATGTGACTGTGGAGACTATCACATAAAGAAGATCTGATTTTGGTTATCAGCACAACTCTTGAAAAGCAGTGCAGGAGAAATCCCTTTGAATTGAACTGATAAGAGATTTATTTAAATATGGTACATGCAAAGTGTCCCATGTAGAGAAATGCTGTTTTCCAGCCTTGATCCTGATAAGCCCTGAGCAGCTGTAGTTCCAATGCAGCTTTGAGATCAGAAGCCTTAATTTTCTACTAGATTAGTGTGAGCTAATTAATATCTTGATCCTAATGAAGCACTTGAGCAAAAGAGATTCATAGCAGTGACGTGAAATCCATCCCTAAGAATTTTTCTGGGTTGGGATGTAAATCTTTTTGCAAGACTTACCTGTGTCTGCCACCTCTGATGAAAACAAGCAGCTGTTTCAGGTGCTGCCTGTGACAACTGGAGTCTGGCCGACAGGGGACTTCCCACAGCCATGGCACTGTCACCTGTATGCTGTTGTCAGAGAACACATTGATTTGTGTGCGTGCTGCTTTTCCTCTGAACCCAGGTAACGAATGCAAGTGGGTGTGTGTGGGGGGTGTGTGTGTGTGTGTGTATACCGGCAATGCTTAAGGATGAGATGCAGCAGCTTCTGTGAGCCTGTGACATCTCAGACTCTTTCACTCTAGTCCTGTGGAAGTGTGGTGCTATCAAACAAAAAAAGCATAAGCTCTGAAACCCCATCAGTGTGCTATTTCCTTTTTTAAAATCCTGCTGCTTATACAGATTTCCCTCTCCAAGCATACGTATACGCACATACATACTGTTAACAACCATGTAATTATTAAGCCTGAAAACAAATATTCTAACCAACATCCAGCTTACTGCCTTGCATTAAACGGCAGCCACAGGACAAGCAGCCCAGACCTGCCTTCAGGCACCCTCCCAGACGTCCTGCTGTGGGTCCACTTCTGGTCTCTGGCTGGAGCACGTCACGCAGGCAGTGCTGAGTGATGGCAAGGCTTCCCTGTGGCAGAGCATCCAGGACCCTCCGTGGGGTCATCCCACCTTGCAGGGGTTGTGGGAAGGGGGAGGCAGTCCAGAACAACACAGTCCTGGGCTACTGCACAGATGAAAAGCAGTCTGCCATCATGCTGCCTGTAAGTAACCAAGCATCCTGTAGTCCACCTCTCCTGCAGAACAGCAGTGCACCTTCAGTGATGTCAGGACTGAAATCGGAAATAAAACCAACAGCAGGAAAAAATGACATAAGCTTTTAAGTGGGAAAGCAATGGTACTTTCTTCAGTCTGGAATGGATTGTATTAGTAGACTTGTAGACATTGGAATGACTGTGCTATGATCATCTTGGTTTCTTAAAGAACAGCAGAGACCAACTGTGTCACGATTTTCAATTCAGTACCATATGAACTTGTAATAATTTTCCTAATTAGCAGGCCTGTTTTAACCTACCTCAGCTAGAATGCTACTGGACCCCAAATTTCCTGTTGACTATGCTCTTCTACAAACGTAACAGTTGTAATCATAGCATTGGCTTCAAGTATTGCCAGTCAGAGCAGAGTGTGGGAATATTGTACATAAGTTGCACATAGTTTTTTATATTGGGAAACATCCTGTGATAATTTTAATACAAAAGGCACTCCAAGGGTGTTGTTTGTTTTGGGACTGAACCTCTGTCTTTACTCCCAGCTTCTGTGAAGGAAACTCAAATGAATTTTATCTCTTTCCAATTTTCAGCTGTTGCCAGATGTTAAAAATTAATTCTGAATGGGTTTTAGAAGTGTTTGCAGTACCTGGTTCTGGTTTTCATAGTTGCTTTGGTATCAGTTCCTGGTGTGGTATACCTTGGGAATAACATAGTGAGTGATACAGATTACTACTTTCTAATGGAAATCCGGAGTATAGGTAGGGACATGCTTCAGAGCTGTAGAGAGACTCATTTGTTATCCTCCACACATTCTAACATTCATAAAAGTGGGGTACAGGCTAGCTGCCATTACAGTCTCCTTTTAGCCTAGTGAAAATGCAAATAAAATAAAAGGAATACAGTTAGAAGTAGATAACCTGCATTAGTGAGACTAATTTAGCCTAGGTCAAAAACTAAACAAAGCAGTTTCATGTGTTCATTGTGTACACGTTTAAGGACTTGGGTTTGGCATGGCCCACAGCAATAAGCCAATTACTCCAACACAGTGTAGTCTTATGACTTCAGCTGGGTACATTTTGGTAGTTTGATTAACAGAAATAATGCCTAAGTAGCTAGAATTATGCAAGGAAACTAATTACTCTGCATGTAAATATTTACACAGCATCCAGATGGCAGTGGCCATCTGAACATTGGCAGAGCAGAATTTCCCCTTTGTGGAGCTGCATCAGGAGGGGAGAAGTGGGGCATTTCTACTGCTCTGCTCAGGCTGGAGGTAGTTTGCTTACCTGCAGGTAACTCCCTCGAGGCCTATCTTATTATAAACCCAGCAGTTCACGTGTCCTTATTCTACAGCATCTCTTATGCCATTTTTTGGTTTTCTCCAAATACCTTCTTCAGGAGGGAGTCAGCCTTTAGTACTATGGTCCTTGCAAAAACTGCCTTGCTGACTGTCCAGGGAGAACCCAGGGGGCTGAAGAGTAGCATAGATATCCCAAGGGACCACTTTGGATGTTCTTGCTTCCTTTGGATACTTTGGGGTATTTCTGCAGCTCTCTGGGACTCCAAGCTCCTCTGACGCTTGGACCCACAGTGAGCTGCCATTCATGGGGCTCTTCTGCTCTTAGAGGCCAGGCTGCTCCTTATAAGCAGGAGAGCAGAGCCTTGTGCACTGGGATGAATCCCATCCACCATGGTACAGAGCCAACACAAGGTAGCTGTAAATTGACTTAATGTTTAAAAAAACCCCCAACTCTCCTCTAATAAATATTACAAAATTTGACTTCTACATACACCAATATGGATCCTTTGCATGGCTGCTGAATAAACAGAAGAGGCAAACTTTATGTCCTACAGAGCCAGAAGGAACTTTGTGTTCATCTACCCCTATGAACCTCAACCTTAGCCTTTGTGAACCTTCTTCCCAGCATTTTCTTCTGCAGATTTCCCTGTTAAGTTTAGTGGAAACACACAGAGAAGTTTGCTATTGCCAGACTTCCCAAAGCATGCAGTGCTACACAATTTCCACTCCCTTCTTTTCCCTCATCAACTCAAAAAGAGCTCACAAGAAGATCTCTTCTGAAGACTTAATGTCAATATGAGCACAGGCCTAGCTGACAATCCCTCACTACTTCTGCTGTGGAAAGGTACGTGCTATAAAATGTCCTTGAGGACAGCAGCATACTGTGATGTATCATGAACTTGGAAAGCAATTTGGTTTCTAAAACATTAAAAAGATAGGCAAACAGCACTGCCAACTCCTATACTTGCCTATTCAGTTAAGATACTTAGAGGAAAATATATTGGACTGGACAAAAATTAAAAAAGCATAAGCTTACATATATCAGAGTTTAAGAGGAAAAGTATTAAATGTAATTTATTATATGCATAATGTTCCATCATGTTGTAAATAACACCATGATAATGTGTTGCCATAGTTTGTTCTTGGCTGGTGATAGAGTTATATCATAGTGCTGTGTAAGTTTTTATTTTTGTTGTTTGTTTTTGTTTGGTTTTTTTCCCAAAGTGTAGTTAGTAAAGATGGCACCAATACTCTAGTTTCTGAGCTGCTCTAGAACAAGAAGAAATGTGAGATGCAGCTTTTTTTCCTTTCTTACATAATAATATTTCTTAAACAAGGTAAGAGGGAGCCGAGATCATGGTTAAGCTCCCACTACCACCAAATGATAAGCACCGTGTTTGCGACTGCCAACAAGAGAGGTGGTGCATTTTTGAAGCACAATTCAGATTGCCCACGAGAAGGGATGCAAAGTACCAACAACCTGGCAACATCTTTCTGGCACAATCTAGAACGTCCCTTGCTCATGAACAGAAAGATGAGGAAAGAGAGCTGTTAGACCTACTCTCAGGCCTTTCCAGCTTTGCAGCATTCCGCTCAAATAGCGAAGTCAAGAATTCAGCTTTGAACTAGGAAAGATAATATGAAAGCCCCAAGCATCTTGGCTAGATCAGCTTTGGAAGGAAGATTACAGTTTCAAGTCCTTCAACAGGTTACAAATCAGTCACACTGCAAGTGTAAAGGGCACTTGTCACTGAAAATTACCAAACAAAGATGGAGAGTCTTTTTTTAATTGTTTGTTTTTAAAAGTGAGCTGCTTCTA